CCATTTCATTTTAGAATATATTGTTCCTTGCAGGAAGACTCATTATTTTTGCTACTAACACTGAAATGTTGGCGCTTGCATCTCTAATCTGCATGTATCTGATTATTACTAGTCATAATCGGTTGCACTTGGATCCTTGGCGCCTGTGTATGTCTATAAAGTCATCGGGTAGATTTGAATGGTATTGTTTATCATCACTACTAATAAGCATGACATAAATTTCCATTCTTCTTCCTCAAATATAATACATTTGTGTGTGTGTGTGTGTGTGTGTGTGTGTATCACACAGAACATCCTAAACCATCTTGTTCATCGATACACCCACTTCCCAGATGGCACCCTCCCATAGCCTCCCCTCCCCCCACTAGAGCCCTTATACTCTGATATCCCCGCTACATATGCTGTGTTATCGTCACCCCCAGCCATTCCCCACTACTTGCCTTTCTGGTGAATCTAGTCAGCCTACCTAGAGGTCTTTGTTTTAGGAGGGTCAGCTGTTCCTCATCTAGCAGTAATCAGTTGTCTATATTCCTTTGGATAAGATTGGGGTCTGCTGTTCATTTTCCCAGTTCTATGTTGGGTTACTATCTGGGAGTCCCTTTGGCCACGGTGGCCAACAACTCAAAAGAAGATATTGCCTGTCTGGCATTGTTGCTTATTATGTAGCCTTTAACTATGCATGTGGCCTCTTCAGAAATTATATTGGCCCCTTTAATCTTTGGTTATACTTTCCTTTTGGGTGTTTAAGGCCATACATTTGGCCCAGATAAACCAATTTATTTTTACTCTTAAGGTCGTTTGAGGATCTGTTCCTCAGGGGTCACATGGGCTTGGGAGGAGCCACTGGCTCCTTTCTTTTACCAGTTCCATCTATGTGAAGAAAAGTCAAAAGTCCTGCTTGACCATGGCTGGCTTCGCTTGGAAGCATGGAGGAAATTATTCTTCTGTGTTGACCCTCTTCTTTGTAGACCGGACACTGGTTCGAGTCCATCTTGTGGGGTCTCCTCGGCCTCCTTGATCAAGAGGACAGGTGTCCCACCACAATTACAGGACATTTTGAGAGATGCTCATAGTCCCCTAGGAAGGCAAGGAGCAAAAACTGTCCTTTATGTCCCTCTGACCCTTTGTAGACTGGACACTGGTTCCTGTCCATCTGGTGGGGTCTCCTTGGCCTCCTTGATCAAGAAGAAAGGTGACCCACCACAATTACAGAACATTTTGAGAGATGCTCATATTCCCCTGGAACTAGTCGACCTAGGAGGGCAAGGAGCAAACACTGTCCTTTGTCCTCTAACCAAATTAGTATAGGCCTCAAAGTATGTCTGTTATACATCCAAGAAGGTTAGTTCCACCAGTCTGGTACTTTTAATTACTGTGTCATGTAGATAAATCTTGGGCAAAGACCAGTTGTTCTCAAATAAACCTTACCTAGACATATATTTCTTGATCTGCTATGTATAATTTGTCAGTAGGTTGTAGGAGTTGCCAGGGGTTCAAACCAGCGACCCCCGAGAAGTGATGATTGGGGATGAGTAAGCACGCCGTTCACCAGCCCGTGCCACCCCCAGTACCAGGGACACTCAGAGGCAACAGAGAGTCTAGTCAAGCAGGGACTCATTTATTGCAGGTGTTACAGAGCTTATAAAGGCACCTGGAAATCCCCCCCTCCCCCAGGGTGTATCTTAAGGATGGTCACCACTGATCATGCACTCC